TCATAACTTTGTACTCTAATTCCTGGAAGCATTGTTCTACTCAGAACTGTCATCAACAAGAGAGGAAAAAAACATTCATTTAGCACTTTTCAGATTTCTGGAAGCATGTTAAAGCTAGTGAAGTAATTTTAAAATGTAGTCACTGTTGTAATGTAGGAAACAATTTTCCAAATGGTATAATGTCTCATAGTGATACAACAACTTGCATTTATATGGTACCTTTCAAATTGTAAAACATTCCAAAGGACTTCACAAAAGCATGGTCAAATAAAATGTAAAACTGAACTAGATAGGGATATATTAAGATGGATTTGACCTGATTTTTACTCAGAGGTAAGATTTAAGGAAATAATGTGGCAGGTATTAAGTAGAACATTTTTACATCAAGTGCTGAAACAAAGTTTTTGAAAATTTGGAAGGTGTGAAGACATGATGCAGGAGATTCGTAGACATGATTCGTAGACAGCGAATATGAAAAATCAACTTTAAAACAAAGACCAGTTATACAATGGCCTTTGGATATGGCCAAGGAGCATGATAGCAATATATTCTCTGAGCCATTTCACTGGGCAATGTGTTATTGGGTACAACTGTTGATTCTGTCCTGTCAGAACTGTGAATTATGCTGGCATATTTTTGACAACTGATTTTATTTCAGTTCTGATGCACAAAACGTTTATACCACATTCCACTTTAAAAGAATTATTCCTTCCAATGATAGTGTAGTGTGCCATCACATCTATACAGCTTTTAGTAAGTCTTGCATAATACATGAATTGAAAGATACTAATTTAACCGTTCTGTGAATGTTAGACTTTGAAGTTAGGCACTTGAGTTTCATTTTAAAGTCATGCCCGTATTACCTCAATAAAAGCAAAAACAGTGGATACTGGAAATCTGGAACAAACATAAAGAATGCTGGAACAAACTCTGTTTCTCTATCCACATCTGCTGGGTTTCTCTAGCATTCTTTGTGTTGGTTATGCCTATGTTATTCACTGCTTCAAATAATAATCTAATTGCTGAAAACAATTCAACTGCTTTAGTTTATGAATATAAATATTTGAAAATGATGGTCTGCTTATGTTAAGGCAACAGCAACCTGAATAAACTCCTCCTTCCCTTTTATAATCCAGGGTTTCTGAGGCAATAGCAGACCATATCTGCTGCCTTGCTTGAAATTGACTAATTCATCACAAATCAAAGATACAGCTTGAGAGGTTTGGATCTGTAGCTGTATTCTTCCATGAACAGTCGAACACACAGCAGGGTCTGTCCATCTATTTCAGCTATGTTGATTGAGTTTATTGTATATATCCTAAAACCATTCATACACTTGCACAGATTTTACTATTCAGTTCTTCAACTGAGTCTCATAGAACAAGAATGATTTCTTCTCAGAAACAGATCTTCCACATGTATGATACTTAGTACTCTACCTCTTGAATTCTTCAGAGGATCTATATTTTGTTGCCTTCTATGTCTTATCTGTGTGTTGCTTCTTTGAGATATTTTCAACAAATGTGCCAGGTTCCACAAATACACTGATGACACCCAACTCTATCTCACTCCCATTCTTGCAACATTGTTTTTATTTCTTATTCATTCATGCAACATTGTCATTGCTGGCTGGCCAGCATTTATTGCCTGTTCCTAGTTGCCCTTGAGAAGGTGATGGTGAGCTGACTTCTTGAACTGCTGCAGTCCATGTGCTGTAAGTTGACCCACGGTGTCCTTAATAAGGGGTTTCCAGGATTCTGACTCAGCGACAGCGAAGGATCAGTGATTTGTTTCCAAGTCAGAATGATGAGTGGCTTGGAGGGAAACTTGCAGGTGGTGTGCTCCCATGTATCTGCTGCCCTTGTCCTTCTAAATGGAAGAGTCACGGGTTTAGAAGGTTCTGTTTAAGGAATTTTTGTGAATTTCTGCAGTACATCTTGGATATAGAATATATTGCTGCTACTCAGCAGTGGTGGTGGAGGGAGGGGATGCTTGTTGTTGTGGTGCCAAACAGGTAGCATATTAAGTCTGTGGAGGTGATGGCCTAGTGGTATTATCATTAAGCTATTAATCTAGAAACTCAGCTGATGTTTTGGGGACCTGAGACCTGTTCGAATCCTGCCGTGGAAGAGGGTGGAATTTGAATTCAATTTTTAAAAACCTGAAATTAAAAATCTACTGATGACCATGAAACTATTGCCAATTGTTGAAAAAAAAACCCATCGGGTTCACTCATGTCCTTCTGGGAAGGAAATCTACCCTCATCTGGTCTGGGTGACATGTGACTCCAGACCCACACAATGTTGTTGACTCTCAACTGCCCTCTGAAATGGCCTAGCAAGCCATTCATTTCAAGGACAGCTAGGAATGGGCAATAAATGATGGCCAGCTAGTGATGCCCACATCCCACAGCGAATAAAAAAGCAGGCTGCTTTCCCCTGGATGGCATCAAGCTTCTAGCATATTGTTGGAGCTTCACCAATCCAGGTGAGTGAGGAGTATTTCATCACACTCCTGACTTGTGCCTTATAGATGGTCGACATGCTTTTAGGAGTCAGGAGCTGAGTTACTCGCCACAGTATTTCTAGCATCTGACCTGCTCTTGTAGCGATTGTATATGGTGACATCAATTGAGTTTCTGGTAACCCCAAGAATGTTGATAGTGGACGATTCAGTGATGGGCGGTAATAAGATTGTCTCTTATTGGAGGTTGTCATTGCCTGGTATTTGTGTGGTGTGAATGTTACTTGCTAACAATGTTACTTGTAACATTGCTATTGATTTGCCATTCTGTTTCTCTGACATCCAGTGTTCAGTGAGTTCAATGTAAATATTGGGGAAAATAAAAACACAGCTCTAAACACACTGCAAAATCTTTGACAACAACAAAAAACACTGAAGTTGCTGCAAAAGCTCAGCAGGTCCGGCAGCAGAACTGAAGAAGGGTCACTGGACTCGAAATATTAACTCTGATTTTTTTCTTCACAGATACTGCCAGACCTGCTGAGCTTTTCCAGCAACTTCTGCTTTTGTTCCTGATTTACAGCATCCACAGTTCTTTCGGTTTTTATTCACAAAATCTTTGTACTGAAATAAGAGCAAAAACAGCTGGAAAACTTCAGCAGGCCAGACAGTGTGAGTGGAGAGAAACAGTTTATCAGCTGGATATTAAATGCTTCGCTAGGCATGTGTTTTGGGCTGGGTGAGACAGATATGTAATATAGGGATTGTTCCCTTCCCCACCTCCACCAATCCCCCATATGATAGCACACCCCCTTCCTTCCTACCATACATATTATGAAACCCAGTCCCACAGCCCTCACCTCCTTTCAAAGTAGCAAAACAAGCGCTGCTTAAAACACCTGGAGTTACCTTACTCTAGAATCCATGGGGCCTCATATGAGGACCTGTCTATATTCCAGTAGTGCCCACTACAGAGCTCTGGGGTTGCTGATTTATCACACTGGCCAGGGGCTCCTGAGGACAGGAGTGGGTGGAAGACCCATTAGGAGCTTACAGAGCCCCATTCCTCTATAGCACATTCTGACTGCAAGTTGAGGGGGGGTTCAATCTGACTAATTAGCTAGCTGTCAACCATTCTTCTTATAAGTGGGCGGGGGGGCAGAAGTCTAATGTTTCAAATTGATGATCTTCTCTGCTTAGTTCATCCAGTTTTGTTCTTATTTCAAATTTCGAGCATCTGTGGTGTTGTGCTTGACTTTAGCCCTCTTCCTGGCCACTTGCTGAGGCTGAGCTAAACGGTTTACAACCTTGTTTTACCCTTTGAGCTACTGACCACGTACCCTTATCAGCACTGAGACTGCCTATTTTTGCCACTGTAACATGTCTGATCTTTGCCCTGCCTCAGCTAATCTGAAGCCCTTATCCATGCCTTTGCCTCAGACTTGGCCAGTTCGACATTCTCTTGAGTAGCTTTCTACTATGCAGCTCCCTTGCAACTTGAACTCAAATCAAACCTCTGCCGCCTAATTGCTTCAAGCCCTGGTCAAGACCATCAATCCTGTGCTTGCTGACCTACATTAACATGATCTTAAAAGCCTCATCCTTACTTTAAAACCCCTGCAGAGCCTCACCCATCCCTCTCTATGTGGCTCCTCCAGCTCTACAACCCAGAGTTTTGTGACTTTGGGTGCATGGTTGATTTTAATTGCCCCATCAAAAGATGCCCTTGCCTTCAGCTGTCCAGGATAAAATTCTGAACTTTCTTCCCTGAACCACTGTGCCTCTCTGTGTCTTCATTCAAGATGTTTCTGAGATCCTATGTCTTTGACAAAACTGTTAGCCACCTGCCCTTAATATCTCCGTACGCAGCTTGGTGTCTGGTTGGGCTGGCAAAGGGCCTTGGGACCGTTTACTATGTTAAGCAGGCTATATAAATGCAGGCTGTTGTTGTCGCTAAATCATTAAACATGAAACAATTAACACACCAAAACTGTCCATTCGCAAAATTCCTCTTTGTTTCTGAAACCTGGCTAGATGGGTCTTCTTTACCAGTCTTGTGTATTTCTTTTTTTTCATTGAAAACAGACGTGATGTATAAACTTCACAACAAATGCTCAAAGCAGGAGATTCTTTCCATTGTGACTTTTCAAAGCGTTCAGGCACAATTCTGAATTCATTGTGAAGTTCTCCTTTTGGTTTCTGGTAGCTTTGAGATAAGTGACTCTCAGGTTTAAAATAAAGCGCAGCGATATCTCTTTTAAGCTTCGAGTACACGTGAGGGTTGTGTTTTCTATTCAGCACATCGTGCTGTTGACAAACGCCAGCACAGTACTTGAGCTTTGCAGCCCGCTCTGCGGTTGCACGGATGTTAAGAGATGCTGCTTAACGTCAGATCAAGTTTGATCAATATTCCCCCGCCGCTCCAATTGGAGGCGCATGTTCAAATCCCCGCCTCACTTCACCACCATCTTTGCCAGTGTGAAATAGTCCGATTTTCCTCTGGCAGAATATTTTATCCTCGCCTGGCTCATAACTGAAGCGTTTTGAACAGAGAGAGGGGGGGGACCAGGGAAGGGGGAGAGTGGGATTTACATCCAAAGCGGTGCTTTTGCCTGTTTGAAGCCGGTTGTAAGGAACTGAAATCAGGGAGAAAATGGGACAACCTTTTCTGCAGTCTGTCTTCCTGTTACTCAACGTGCTTTTTGGTGTAGCTTCGGGCGCTTTCCCCAGCAATGTCCAAATAGGTAAGCAACTCCTGTATAGTGCAGAAATGTACCTAAGAACTTCACATCGACTGCAGCTGCTAAGATCACGGGTCGCGACTTTAATTTGTTCAAAAATAAAGCAAGTCCCTTGTAATTGGTGCTGTTGAAAAGGGATCTGCCTTAATGCTAAAAGAAAGTTAACCTGCTTGTGTTTTATTAAATCACATTAAGTAAAAATGTAGCCGAAACGTTATCATCGTGGTGTAAGCATCTCTCTGTGCCGTGCTATCGTCTGAAGCAGCGAGTGAAAAGCGAGGGTTATGCGGCACAAGTCAATGTGAATTTTTTTCTTACTTCTGTACAGGCGGACTGTTCTCAAGAAGTACAGATCAGGAAAATAGCGCCTTTCGGTTCGGGATTTACCTTCACAACACAAACCCTAACATCTCCGAAGCGCCTTTCGCTCTCACTCCACATGTCGACAACCTCGAGTCTTCCAACAGTTTCTCAGTGACCAATGCTTGTGAGTACAATTGACACAGCTGGCCCCTCTCTCTCTTTATTTTGGACTAAAGCACTGAAATTATACCAAAAGGAGCCTCCCAAAAAAGTTGTTAGCTGTTGCTGCTAACTATGGCAGGAGAAAGCGCAATGAAAACCGTTATTAAATTTCGTCAGATTAACTTCGTATAGCGTGCAGGCATCGTGTAACATACACGTAACAATGTAATGTGCTGTTCAGTCCGATATACAACAGTGATATTAAAAGGAGTAGCTTTCTGACTGTGTGTGTATGACATGTGCAGTGTATCGAATCGATGTGGTTTTTATTTCTGTTGGTGGAACTTGTGTGTCATGCAGAAATCTGAAATCTATAGTTCGCTATATTTAGGATTGCGAGGATATGGAGCTCCATTTTTTCCACGTAACACGGAGAATTATGTGTGGAGTATAGTTTGGGTACAAGCTGATCTGTGCTGGACTCTACCGGCTCCAGTGACGATGAAAAATGTCTCTGGTACGTTTGCAGATTCGCTTCGACACGTCCCCCTTTTTTTATTTTACAGACTCTGCGGTTGTTGCAAGGTCCACCCTCATTAGTAAACAGATCTCGAAGCACTTTGTTGCGCTGTCTTTTGAAAATAACCGCTACCCACACCGCTTCCCACCTTTCCCTCGAACGCGTTGTGGGATGCAATCGGTGCGTGTGCCTCTGCTTGAAAAAAACATACACCTCTGGGTCAGCGGGAATAATATGTGGGACGGCAGCTGTCTCCCTGATGTCACTGACATCTCTTGCCCTGCCTGGATAAGAGAGACAGGGAGAGATCGAGAGACAGAGAACACTTTTAGTGCAAAACCTAATTAATCCGGTGCAGACTCTCTCTAACCAGCCACTGGGTATTCGTGTCCCGTACATTTCCAGTGTCTTGTGTGTGTCCCGCCAATTCGAGATCCTGTTTTTTTTTGACATTTGTTTAATTTTCCAGAGCTCGATCTAGGATACAACAATCCTTAAGTGACCTTTTCGTATTTTAATTGGATCTACCCCGTATTTTTAAGCGCCACACAGGCGCCTGATCGCCTCTGACAGACAGTGAAACGCTGCAATGTGGGATCTCCTCTTCTCAGTAATGCAAACCGCAAAGTTTTCTCTCTCTCTCAGTCCTTCCCCACCTCCATTTCATTCTGTCACCCTCATTCCTTCATCCCCTCCTCAGACAATCTTCCCCTCCATCCCCCCCTCCCTTTTACCTTCCTTCTGGGGTCGTACCGGCTCAAAAGTATATTTTATTCTCGACAGTTAGCTCTGATTGCAGTGATTAAAGATTCATGAAAGCATGTTCTGTACATGCACTGCGGTAGAACATTTGAACGAACCAGTCCCACTGACTGTTGAGAGAGAGATAACAAGGTGTAGAGCTGGATGAACACAGCAGGCCAAGCAGCATCATAGGAGCAGGAAAGCTGACGTTTCGGTTGAGGTGCATTTGTAAAGCCAGGATTCATACGCCAGCAGCTTTAGATTACTGACTTTTACTGGCGAAGCTGCTGTGTTTAATGCGCCAATTCGGAAGTTCTCGACATCACTGAACATTTAGCAAGTACCAAAGAATCATGGGGTGTGAAGTGCGTCCGCCCTACTTAAAACAAATGTGTCGAGCTGTTTAGATCATCATCGCCTTTCAAACTTACTTGCAGCCGCTTTTTAAAAACGAAAGTACAAAACGTGGCAGAGTTTCGCCGCTCACTCTTCCGGACGATCGATGTCTCGGTGTTGCCCAGAAAGGGCGTTCTGTCCCTGCCCTCTGCCTGGCCTTCTGAGTCTTTCCAGCCCTGGCGGCTTCATTGTCAGATTCCCAACAGCTGCAGTATTTTGCTTTCTGCACATCCCACTCTGATGGGATATAACCCTAATTCTCCCCGCCCCAAATAAAGAACACCATTGATCTGAAGCAGCAAGGAATACACTCCATCTGATACCGAATTAAGCCGTTCTAAGAACAATGATCAGGATAAAAAAGCGATGGGGCGGTTTTCTTTTTAACGGGCGATGAACATCTTGCAACTACAGTATTGACAGGGGAGTTGACTGTACGGGAGTCTTAAAAGAAAACTGCCTGGCAACCTATCAGGGCAGAGACTGCTCAGCGGTTTGTAAATAAATCAACTCAGTAGGTTAGAGCATGCTTTCTGTTTTTGTCATCAGAATATTTTTTCAAAAAGTGCAAGCGCTATATCACAGGAAAATATAACATCATAATCTCCATGATTATAAAAATATTATTTCTGTCTGGGAGGGGGTAAAGTGTGTCAAACTGCGTTTAATAACGTTATTCAGTACATACAGTAGAACAAATACAACAGCCTGTTTGGTCGTCACAATGTCGAGGCTGCAAATGATCCCCAGGGTTCCGGGATGTAGGACATCATGCAACCAGTCCACAGGGCTCTCAGCTGATTTGCAGTTTGAAGGCAAGATTGTACCGCTGTTATGCTGGGGAAGCGAAATCACCTTGACACAGAAATCATTAAAGGTCCAGATGACCCAGAACATGAGCACCCGCAGAAACTCCTGCTATCTGCTCTCAAACATGTGTATTTGTCTATCTCGTGTGGCCTGCTCATTTCCACTGCGTGTTCACATCTGACCAGAATAGAATCTCGTGTGGCATCTGGAGATTTGCAGATGTGCATCTTGCACACGTTCATTAACAGTTTTAACGCAAATAAAAATGTGCAAATGACTGTATCTATCACACTAGCGCCGAACACGGAGTTTCTTCCAATCGGAAGCTGCTTCATTTTGCCTCTTTGTCTCTGCTTTAGCTACAAAGTTGCTCATCTCTCATTCTGTCACTAAACTAACGGTGTGAAACCTTGTTCCTTCGACTGTGGAATCGCCTCTCTCATGCTCCTGTGCTCAGTGGCTAAACATTGTGCTGCTGCATCTCTGACTGGTATTTCCTTCCAACTACCACAAGCATTTTTCAACAAAATGCATCTATCTAGCGGGAAGTTCGTACCTTCAATTTACAGCTGAGGGTGAGGAAACATGACTAACAGGATTTATGGAGATACCCAATTCACTTAATTATGATTGATTTTCCACATAATTTCTTACTTCTTATCAAATTGTATAAATGACTAGCTATTTTCCCATTTCACTTTCCTCCTGGATTACAAGAACATATAATGATGCCTGTGATGTATTTCAATGCTTAATCTGAAACCCACATCACATAATGTAACAAGTAATTAATGGTTAGCTGGCAGTTTCCTCCTTTGGCATTAATTGGGTTCATTCTGTATGTATTTACTATTTGAGCACATCCTATCAGAAAAACTTAAAAGATTACATTTCCAGTTCTCAATATTAACAGAAAAGAAAACATATATTTGACAATCACTGTAGCATAAGCAAAGATTTTTAATTATTTCCTCAGTTGCTTATGTAGAGTCTAGTAGGTCACGTTATAGCAGTCATTACATTTACCCTTCAGCACAAACTGGGCAAAAACACATCTAATCAATTGTATGACTGCAATAGGACATCATCAATGTGATGAGGCTGAATGATAAGTAATAGCAAAGAAGTCTGATCTTCTCTGTCTGCACAAATGCATATTAAGACCTGTTCTAAATTGCAGACCTATCACTCCCACTCATTGGAGTGATGGTCATTCATCTTGGTTTAAAACTGGCACCAATTTTGACAGACCTTGCCGTTTAAAACAATCACAGTTTAACTTGGTCTTTTTCAATAGTTTTCACTTTGTGTACAATATCTGAATAAATCAAAATTTTTAGCAGTTTTTTTTGGGGTTTCTTTTATAATTTCATTGATTTGTGTATGAAGCCACACACTAGTGGTTATGTTTTTCTGCATACCTTATCATTACAGCTTACCTTATATGAATATTTCAATGATAATTTTAAATGATTTGCATGTCTGAATATGTAAGGAATTAAATCTAGACCTTTCATTTTTATCATACTATGCTATCAGTTTTGATATGTTTTTTAATCATAAATAATATTAACCTTTGGCCATCTACTGTTGAGAAAACTGGTTAATAATGAAAGGACGTTGATTTAATACCCAGTTTCCCAAAATGCAAATATTCAGTGGTGGGGAGGCCTTGTGCTAATGTCCTTGACTAGTAATCCAGGTACCCAAGTAATGTACTGGACCCAATTTCAAACCCCACTGAGGCAGATGGTAGAATGTGAATCCAATTTTAAAAATCAAGAGTTAAAGCCCATGACTATAAACCAATGGAAAGGCGGGGAAAGAAGGGACAAAAATGGTGGGCCAACTGGCATTGACTAAAGTACCTGAAATTACAACAGCAAACTCAGAACAATGAACCTGCAAAGTCTTCCTAATGTTTGGGGGCTGTTATGAAAATAAAATGTCAATGACTGTGACATAGTCATGCAGGATCGTATTTTACACACAATGTTTCAGGCATGATCACACCATGTTGCGGTATGTCCTTGCGCATTGGCAGGTTAGACCCAGCAATGGTGCAGCAATTGGGAGGGAGCTACCCTTAGGAGTTCTCAACATTGACTCTGAACCTCGTGACATCAGGACAAACATTAGCAAGGAAATTTCCTGCTGATTTACCCCTCCCTCGCAACTGATGAATCAATGCTCTTCCATATTGAACAGCGCTTGGAAGAAGCACTGAGGGTGGCAAAGGCACAAAATGTACTTCAATGCTTGCTAACAAGAGTGGCTCAGAAGCACTGGTCTGACTAAGCTGGTTAAATCACGTAGGACATAACTGCTAGACTGTGTTGTGGCAGGTGGTGAGAGAACCAAGAAAAGGAAAAAACATATTTTACTTCACCTTCACCAATCTGTTTGCCACTATTGCATCTGTCCATGACAGTATTGGTAAGAGTGACTACCATACAGTCACTTCTGGAGACAAAATCCCATCTTCACATTGAGAATACTCTCTATCATTGTGTGGCACTATCAATGTGCTAAATGGGGCAAACGTCAAACGG